GGATTATATATAACGTGTGATTATGGTAGTCGCCGCACCTAAATAACGTCATAATTATGACGGATACGTACCGTCATACACTTTCAACGCGTGTCTTAGTTTCAAACAAAAATTTGAGATTCGCAAACACTTTCACAGATTTCAATTTTTAAAGAATTCTTGGTACCCTCGTACGCTCACTTTTTCATCATTAATTCTCCTGTAAAATATTGTTATTTGCATTAGACAAACTTATAATTTTACATATTTTAACCGTCTGTCTTTTTGACAACGACTCAAGAAATTGAACGTTTCCGTCCACCCTCCCATCTTTCGGTTTTCTTGTCATCTGCTGAGCATTCAATGACCCATCAACCATCCAATATCCTAAAACCATGCATCTGAACAACTCTTTTATTTACATCCTTTCCTCTGTGAGACTTGTGAATCAACCTAACTGTCTCAACTGCTGATTTCCCGATTTTAATTAATAAAGCAAAAATGCATTACAGTATGCTGTCACTAATGTGGCGATTTTCTTCCATTTCGACATTTCCTTTGATCAATGCATCAAAGTAAAACAACAATGTGTATGATAAAAATAGCAATGGTGTCATTTAATTTTCAACTTAAATATTGTAAATTTCGTCTTTTTGAAATTTTGGGCGATTATGTGCTTTGTAAAGATGCTTTGTTAATGTGCTTGTCTTTTTCATTCTTAAAAACTACACTTCAATTCGTGACGTTTGGGTGTGACGCGGCGACACCCCCTATGTCCTTTGTTTTAAACATTTATAAAATAAATTCATTTAAACATTCTTAGATGAAAATTTCAATGTTAATTGGATTTATGATTGTGCTTCTTTTGGTATATTGTATTTGATAATATGACGCCAAATATTAAAGATATGGACACGGTGACATTACTTTTGGATCAACCCTCGTAATGCATCAAAAGATACAGAAAAAGAAATCGAATCAAAATTGAAAATTTCATTTAATAATGTTTAATTGAATTCTTTCTATAGACGTTGAAAAAATCAAACATAGGGGGTGTCGCCGCGTCAATCTAAACGTCACGTTTTAAAATGTACACAGTTAGAATAAAAAAGACAAACACATTTGAAAATCATTCAAAAAAGCTTCTAATCATCTCTTATTTTTAAAAAGAATAAAATTGACGACAATTTATAGTCTTTATTTAAAAATAAAATGGCGACATTGTTTTTTTATTATTAACATTGTTGTTTATATCCGATGTATTGAAGAAAGGAAATGGAATAAAATGCCGAACTGAGTTTTAATGCGTTTTTCCTATAAAATCAGGAAATCGCTAGTAGAGATAGTTAACGATGGTAAATCAGACTCGCAGAGGAAATAATGTGAAAACGAGACTTGTTCATAGATGTTTTCAATTATTTTGGGTGGGTCGTTGGTAATTAACTGATCAGCTAAGGACAGAAAGACAGAAAGATACGAGGTTTGGTGGAGACAATCAATGGCGTTGACGTTGTCAAAAAAAAGATGCGTGTCACGCAGTTTGAGTCATACATTGTATGAGAAACTTTTAAGTTTGTCTTATGGTACTGTTCAAAGAATTTTGATGAAGGGCTAAATTACTGATAAAGTGTACAATTGGTGACAATAATTATTAAAGAAAGTAAAATGTGTGAATGTGTTTTTGAATAGCAATTATTTTAATGAAACGATGGGGAAGTTTTTAAAACTGTGTGACGGCGCGTATCCGTCATATGACGTAAGTGAGGTGCGGCGACTACCGTAATCGCATTTTGTATAAAATTCGATATTTTGAAAAGTATAAATCATTTCTATTTGAATTTTTCAGGACTGATTTCAAATATATGTTGCTACCATCATGTATAATTTTGTTAATTTACGTTGACTTGTAGTAATTTTATCGAAGTTGTGACATTACTTTTGGATCAACCCTCGTATATTATCTGAATGGAGGACCACAGTAGAATTTTTTAATGTAAAGCCCCACATTTCCAAAGCAACAACAATGGGTAAGAACTCACGTACAGAAATGTGATACTGTAACCAATCAGATGTAAAATTATGAGAGAACCATTTCTTTCCAAATGTACCCCCAAAACCTAAATTGCTAGCATCTGTGAAAAGGTGTAGGAAGGGTGATGAATGTGTAATGCCAGATGGAAAGAATGCTTTTCCATTAAAATGTTCTAAGAACACAGCCCAAGCTTTTCAATCTGCCCTAGCTTCCAAATTAAGTTTTCGGTGATGGTAGGGTTGTTTCAGGCCAATAGTGAGATTGATTAGCCTTCTTAAGAATGTGCGCCTAGGAGGTACAACATTGCATGCAAAATTCAACATATCAATCAAAGATTGGAGCTCACGAAGTGTAGCAGACTTTTTGTTTTGAAAGGACAAGTGCACTTAAGCAATGTTTAATGGGCTCTTTTTATGTGCCATTTTACTTTAGAATATACAACCAAATCGTTCTCTTTTGGTAATAGTTATATACTAGTGTATATTTCTAATTAAAAAGCACGATAATCATCACCAAAATCAGCATGGATTTTATGGAAAGCCATAGGGGACCCCCATGTCATGTTCTATATATATATATAGATATATCGACGACGTATTGTCAATTAATAATGATAATTTCCATTCCTACGTCGACACAATATATCCTGGTGAGCTTGAGATAAAAGATACCACATAGTCCGACACTTCTGCTTCATACTTGGATATTTTACTTGAAAAAGACACTAATGGTAATCTAACAACTAAGCTATATGATAAACGTGATGACTTTAACTTTTCTATCGTCAACTTCCCTTACTTATGCAGCAATATACCTTCATCACCTGCATACGGAGTATTTATATCTCAGTTGATTCGATACGCAAGAGCATGCTCTACGTATGAACAGTTTCTTAAACGAGGTAAATTATTGACAAGCAAGTTGATGAAACAAGAATATCAACAGTCTCGTTTAAAGTCATCATTTCGTAAATTCTATGGTCGATACAATGACCTTGTCAGCAAATACAATTTATCATTGAATGAAATGCTGACTGACGTTTTTCATACCAATTGTTAGTCCATTATTTATACACTGAATTGACCACGGATTTTTTCCGTTATTTCCTGATTATGACAACGAGCACACGGCGGGTGTGACCGGTCGGCAGGGGATGCTCATTCCTCCATGGCACCTGATCCCACCTCTGATGTTTCGGAGGTCCGTGTTTGCTCTGCTCTTATTTTGTATACAGTGGACCCTCATTTATCCGGACGCTTTGGTTCCCAGTCAATTTGTCCGGATATGTGAAGCATCCGGATATCTGAATCACCAGTTAAACAAGTTAGAATAACATTTAAAAATTTCGTTCCTGTGAAAGATCGTCCGGATACTGAAGCATCCGGATATCTGGCGTACGGATATCTGAAGGTCCACTGTATTTGTTTAATGGACGTTGAGCTTGAATACTGTTCGTTATTTCCATATCCTTCATTGAAAAATTTTTTTTATTTGACGAAAAATTTGGAAAAGGACTTGCCATAAGGAGGTTCGGCGAAACTAGGAATTCATAAAAAACGTTGTTGAAGTCTAAAATTCAGAGAGATTTAATGAAGTGTTCAAGGAATAAGGCACCAAAAGGGAGTAAGGGAGCGTCTTGGGAAAATCTGTAACAATTCCTGTTACATTTAGCCGTAGTTTGTTCTCTGTTTTTGTCTTTTTTGGTGTTAAATTCAATTCCGATGTCAATTAATACTGTAATTCGTTTGTTTATCACATACTGTAACGCAAAGTACAATGTCATGCTCCTTGAAAGCTCCTTAAAATATGCTTTGTAAGAATAATTTTAATATATATATTATCAGCTGATTAGTTGTTTAACAAAGAGAATACTTACAAAAAACAGTTAATACAAAACCATTTATTACTAAATTAAATAGAGGAGTTCAATTGTTTTCAAAGCAGCTATTTTATGCTTACCAAAACGAATGCTATGTTATAAAACGTGTAATATAAAGGGTCAATAGACTGTAAGGAAATCTATAGCTGGCCAAAAAGGAAAACCAAAACAAACATCTTTACATTATTACTGATCATTACTTAGTTATTGATATAACTTAAGTATAAGTGTGATTCAAATAAAATGACTCGCAATCATGAAAATAAAATAAAAGGACAAAAAAATTAAATTTTTTTTATCTTGCGGGAAACTAGATAGTTAAGAGTTTTGATTCAGGAGTTGAGGCATTTCCTAAGAATCATCAGCAATCAAAGAAGATATAAAGTACTCATGGGACATAATTATTCGCCACCCTGCATGCAAATAGCACCGTGTTTTCGCTTACAAAACGAAAGTTGGCGTTCGCGCATAAATAGAAAAAGATTTTAGCATAGTAAATAACAATGTTGATACATAAAATGACCAGCACCATCACCAGATTTGAAAATTATTGAAAATATTTGGTTACGTGTGAAAAAAGCGTAAGATTCCCGTATTCATGTCATACATTCGCAACAAGATCTGATGGCAGAAATTCGGACCGTGTGGGAAACATTCCGATAACCTATAGTAAAGACCTTAATAGCTCCATTTTAAGACGATTTAGGGAAGTTATCAAAATGAAAGGAAATCTGACCAAATACTGAGGTAAGATTTTAATTTTATCGACCACGAACTGTGAAGAAACTTCGTATGTGCGTTCTTGGCGGCCATTTTGAAAGTGGGGAAAATTTATCTACCATAACTGTATGTAGGATTTTTTCCAGCTGGGATAACCGAGTAAAATTTGTCGTTACATTTCAAATGCAGTCATAATTGAATGATTTTTCTTATGTTAAATTATTTTACATTTTGTTTTTACAAATACTACTTCTAAGTACCTTATGTTATGTAGATGTGAACAATAATGAGTTTCAAACATGAATAGAATTTAAACTAAAAAAAAATAAAAAATAAGAATAAAACAGACATTGATTAGTCTAGCTTTAATAAAAAGTATTTTCTAATTCATTAAAAACAGCAACAATTAGAGCAAATTCTCTTGTTCAAAAATTTTCCGATGTCTTGTTTTGCATTTTGATTAATTTTTTTGGGAATTTCGTTATTATCTTTGAAGTGTATAACAGTAGTTGAAACGTGGTTGTCAATTACGTTTGAAAGTATCGATGTAATGTTTTCTACAGTTATATCTTTGTCCTTGGGTTTAAGTACGACAAACATTGTTTTTGAATCTGAAAAAGATATCGTTAAAATAATTTAGTTCACCGAGATAAATCATAAAAAAGATCAGATATAATAAATTTTGTAAAACATTTTCCTGTAGTTGAGAAAAAGGTGCATACCTTCTTTGTTGAATGTTTTCCATTTTTCCCACACTGCTGTAACGTCCGCCTCTAATCTAGATAATAGACAACATACAACAAAACAAAGAATTCCTTTTTCTAAGTCTTCTATATCTTTCGTTTGATGACTTTTTTCTTTTAATAAGACAGAAAGGAAAGCTGTGAAGACTGGTTCTCCCGTAGATTCATTGCTTGGAATAATGACAGCAAAATTGGGATTGCCTGAAAACAATTTTTAAGGTTTTCAATTAAAGTCGGAATTGTAATGTTTCCAAGAATCCTCACTTTTCTTATGTGTCTTTCTCTACTTATAAAATTAATATGGATAGTTGATTTTTTTAGTCTGCGGACTAGTTACACTTTTTCTCCTTTGTGATTGGTAGAAATTGTATGATGAGAAAATAATTATATCATTTGTTGAAATGCCTTTGAAGACAAGGGAGATCATTTTCCGATAAACTAGTTTTCGTATGATTTAACAATTTATCAATATTCTAAATGGAAAAGAAAATACGACAGAACGAACAGCGAACATTGGCAGTTAGTAATTTTTAATAACATATTTTATGAAAAAGACACCGAAAAGCTTCTAAGCTGCTGAACTGTAGGGTTATGGTTATATATATATATATTTAATTGTCTTTGACCATTACACTACAGATCCCGTAATGCAAAGAAGGTGCAAATTACGGTGCAATATTTTTTGCACACTTTGGTGGAGAATTTTTCCACTTTCCAGCATTGGGCAATCAACTACCTTTCACTCCCTATTTCTAGACACACTCTGTAGCCATTTTGTATATAATATATCCACCTCCCAACCATTTATAGTTGTCTCTACAGGCAATGAATTCGATTGAAGTACAATTTCAGCAATCCTTCAGATAATTTTAATCAAGCGAGTTTATCACTTGTAGAGACGACTATAAATGATTGGGAGAACGATTAAATATGCAGAATAGTCAAATACGCAGTAATATGCCTAAAATTAGGGGGAGAAAGCCATAATGCTACTGATCTGCAGCTGAAAGCTTCTTTATTGTAATTGTAAATAGAATTGTTCTTTGTTGAATGCAAGCTTTACATTCTGTATTTATACTTTTCCCCTTCATTGTTAAAGGGTTTTTATCACGAATCTAGATTTCTTAAAGATTAAACACTATTGTATTCTTGAAACATAATTATCGTTTAATTATAAAATGATGTTAAAAACTGACACATTTAGTCCATAAAACGTCCGTAATGTACATGTAATGATTGAAAATCGCCGCTAATTACATGTAGGGACAATTAAAACTCGTAAAGCGTATCGTAAAGAAACGTCTACGGAACAGACTTTTATGTAAAATAAAAAGAATACACGACTAGTTTGGAAGAAATTTTGAGATGGACGCTATTACTTTAACTATGGACGCTCAATTTGTAATGTATTAACAACTTCCACAGAGAATTAACCAAAAACATACCTTGAAAAGGGGAAAGGGCATCGAGGGCGAAGCGGTTGACAACTCCGGGCTTCGACTGAATAGATCAAATTATTAACGTTTGATTTCGTAAATATTTATAAAAGTGGAAATAATAAGTTATCTCAATAATACATAGACAGGTCCTGCGCATTTTTCATCCAAACACAACAAATTATATCTAACTATCGGCCAATTATCCAATTATTATTGATTAAATTTCTAGCAGGTTTACTAAACGAAAGTATCGAGGCCTTTTGTAATCACAATCCTATGACGTAGGCAACATCTGCGATCAAAATATGCATATGGAGAATTTCAAACTTTAAATCGGTAAAACACCCACTATGTTAATTTTCTAGCCAAAAAAAATTGATAGACGATTTTAATAGCATATAAACATTGTTATATAAAAAAAGGGTCATGATAAAAACCCTTTAAATTAATTGGCGGAATCAGCCGAGGTTTATCGAATGATTTCGACAGCAGAGTCAAAGTTTCAAAATAAGTCGGGCGTTTAGTCAACCTTTCAGTTCGTAAGGGTGATACGCAGGCACCTTCCAAATGGATGGTGCAAATCCCTCCAGCTTCTAAGACTTTTTTTATCCAAATGATTATTAATTTAAGAGCTGATAATTTATAAACTAGAAGGTATTTATTGATACCTATGGTAAGAAGGCTTATTAATGAGGTTTAGAATTCTGTGAGCATTTTTTGCCGTCAGTTCGATTTCGTTATCGTACTTGATCGTCTGCAGAAAAAAACCTCTGTAGAACCATCACTTTTTCGCATAAAACAACATTACAATCATCAAAAGTAAGTTTGGGATGGACTCTAACAAATACTAAAAAGTTGTATCAGATAGATATTTCGAACAAAGGAAGACACCAAATTATTTTTGTGTTGTCATTTTACAGGTTCCGAATACGCATTACCCATAATAAACACTATTATTATATTCATTATTTATTGTTTTCTTCATTGTGAATGTGAATTATTATACACCCGCTTGAACAGCAGGGGGTATATATATAGTAATGGGATGTTTTTCCATCAATCCATTTGTACGTCATCCCATCTGTCTAGAGTAAAATCACATATTTTCGTGGGGTAAGATTTTTGTTGTTAGAAGAATATATTTTAGTTCGTGGCGATTTGATTTCATGGATTATGAATTAATGAGTACTTATGTATGTAACATTTAACATTTCCTGGTGTACATGAATTTGCGGGTCTCTTCATACCTCCAAAACAACAAAAATTAACCCCCGACGAAAATTTGTGAGTTCACAGTATACGTCCGTCTGTTACACTTTAGGTACATATTTCATATTTGCAATCCTCTTCCATCACTGAATAAAATCTAATGAGGCTTCAAAGAATCTGTCAAATAATGCCAAAGTACTAGTGTACCCTTTATTTCGTTTTTTGATCTGACACATGATTTATGCTCCTTTAGCAAAACATGAATACGCTATTATGTCTTATATAAGGTTTCTCTATGTGTTATCAAGTTAAATTCCTTGGCGCCATTGTAAAAAAATCAGCGCCATAGATCCGCCACAGTTAAAATATTAGCACCACAGAAAGATCGATCGATAAATATTATAATATTTTATTCAAATAAATTTCTCAACCTCCAAAGTATGTATCGTTTTCATTTTCTTATGCTTTACTGTTAATTTACTCTAATTACGGCCCACTGTTTGGCTTACACAACCAATTATCGTCTAGACCTCCCTTGACACATGAAACTGTTTTTTTCACACTTGACGATATAATTGCAATGGAAGTTTTGAATATCAATTAGATTTTCTTAAAGCCATATATGGCGTAACTGATCAAAAAAAATATTTTTGAAAATTACAAAATTAAGTGAAGAAATATAGTTAATACATTTAAATTAAAGCTTTTCACAAAATTCTGAACACGGAGAACACCTCGTTTCATCCAATAATACGATTTTATCTTCTCTGTAATGTGTTATTTAAAACTTTTGTATTTTTCTTCCGAGTCGGAGAAAATTCCGAGAATATAAATTAAATTGTGATATCTTAATAACGCAATTGACTTAAATTTTGTAATTTACCGAAAAGTTCTATCTTTATATAAAGTAATGATACAAATAATAAGTTCTTATAATTTTAGTCGAATAATTTTCATTGTAAATACGCCATATATGGCTTTAACCCCCTTCCCGGCACTCACGCATTTTAACGCATATACCATTTCCTATTTCTAACCAAAAATCACGCACATACCGTTTCCCCACAATCACGCATTTTCACGCACTTCAAAAAGCACATTAAATCGTTGATTTAATGCCAATTTCCTTTTATTTTATACTTGCGAAAATCTCATCAAAGAAGAAAAGTCATTTTTGTATTAAAATATAGCGTCATAATATTATTTACGCTAAACTTTAGAGAAATGTGTACCACGCTAAAAGGTTCTTGCGGGGAAATGGTAAATTTCTATTTCTATGACGTGATCATTTAGTGTATGTTGTATAATTGTTCAGTAAGTTGTAAAGAGTTAAGGACGTTCGATTCTGAAATTGTGAGCGTATTTTGGTCAGGTCCCTTATTTATAAAATTCCGCATCATTTTAAAGTTCTAACAATAAATCTGAATTCTAAAGCGCAAATTTAACTATATTTAAGGAAAAACCGCGATTAAATTCCATTCAAGTAGAATTAACCTAGGAACTATATTATGTGGCGGTAGTTTTTTTTTTAGACGAAAATGATCAGTTTTTCCATTTTGAACTATTACTGTTCTGTTAATTTTGGATTCCTATTTTTCCATCCTGGTTGCACACAAAGCAGTGAAATACGTTATGTTGGTTTTTGAAATATCTATTAAATTATTTCTTATTTATTCTATCAACAAAGTGTGACAAATATAGTAAATATATTCTGAAAATCCGGGATAGAATTGAGTCAATTTTAACATTAAGGATATACAATCCTCAGCCAGGAAGGGCAACTCTTTAATTTATAATTTATTTCAAAAATTATTAAAATAAACCTTGAAATTGAAATTTTTTCATGCAACAATTTTTATTTTATGCTTCCACATATGATTCAATGCTCTTTAAAGTTTTAATAAACAGTATTTAAAAAGTTGGCATTTGTACCTCATAAAATGAAGTAAAAATTGCATATTTAAAAAAAAAATCAAAATTCTTTTAATTTAGCCTTGGTTGCTAATGTTTATATGCATGATTTGAAATTAGAAGTGATTTTCAATGTTTTCCTTGAAAGGAAACACTTCATACACTATTATGAAACATTGGAAGTAAGTAGGAGAAAGTAAAGTCCAAATAATTGTAAAATTAATGCAATTTTCTTAAAAAATCTAGATACCTATGATTTTTATTCCTAAAATGCAATTCTTGATCAATTATCAATTAAAAAATATGCAGTAGGTAGTTCAAATCGCATTTCTTGAAAAATTATTCGAGATTTACTAATTTTCCCTACATAATATGATTAAATTTAAAGATGAATTTGAAAGAAACGCCGAGGGTAAATACACTTTAATTTGAGAATTTACAAACATCTTTGTGAGCATTTTCAATTACCCAATGCCTGATTTTCAGAACCTGAGGATCGGATAACCTTAAATTAACACTTTTTTGTTATATCTGAAAATGTACATCATACTAGTATACCCCAACTTTTGATGTTCTTTTCTAAATATTTAAGATAAAGACTTAAAATAAGAAAAAGTATAGGAATTTCAAATAATTTTCTTG